CTCTACCTGTTAACCTTTGTCTCATCTACTTCTTAAAAACAGCAACTAAGTATTAAATACTGACTTTGCGCGTTGTGTCTCGTGTGGTCTTTACAACACCCCGAGAGATTCTGCAGGAGAAACTTGTAACTTGTTCAGGGTCACATAGTTAATGAATTGTGGAGATAGGCTCTCCTGTACTGCAGTGCTACTGCGGGCTGCTCATGCTCTCCACAGTTGTCTCCTTGTCACCAAAGCCAGCCATGACATCTCCGCAGCTGTATATGATGGGACTCACTTAATTCCTTTCCAGTTTTGCCACCGCCTCTTCTAGTTCAACCCTTCAGGGGTTCCACTGGCTCTTCCACCGCATCCGTCCTTCAGAGGCCATCTCGGGCGATGGCTCCCTTCTACGGCCTTTGGCTGGTCCCAGGAGGGCTTTGGGCAGAGGTGGTGGGAGAATATTCTGATGTTGGGAAGGACAATGCATAGAGGCTCTAAGGTGGTAAAATACAGCTCACCAGAGGTGAATGGCAAGTGGTTTACTCTGGCCCAGGAAAAGCTACAGGTAGGGAAGTAACGTGGACTAATCTCGGGAGGATAGTTGGAAGGAAGACTGGCAGTTCTGGAGTAATGGACTAGGAGTTTGACTGGATCCTTTCTCAGCTTACAAACCTCCAGTGGCTCTCTGTCCACATGTACGGGGTGACCACATAGTTTCACACTGAAATAGGACCATTTTGAGTGTGAAAAGAGGCGGTATTAACAGTCACACTGAGAGAGCTGCTAAGGCTGTCCTCAGCACGTTAGGAGGCATAGTCACGCTGACTGTGCAAAAAGTCGAGTCCAAGGTGACTCCTCTTTAATCCCCACCCAAGGACGCTTTTTAGGGAGAGGGGGAGGCAGAGAGACTATGATTTTAGAGAGCAAAGTGCCAATTGGTTGCCTCCCATATGCAGCCAGACCAGGGGTCACTTGTGCCCAGACTGAGAACTGAACCTCAACCTAGGCGTGTGCCCTGACATGGAATCGAATCTGCGGCCCTTCGGTTACGGGACAGTGCTCCGAACAACTGAGCCACACTGGCTCGTGCCAAGGTGACTTTTTAAAAAATCCTCACCCAAGGACATGCTTATTGATGTTAGAGAGGGGGGGAGGGAGGGAGAGAGAAAGGGAGAGAAACACTGACTGGCTGCCTCTCGTGCACCCCCCAACTGGGTACCGAACCTGCAACACAGGCAGGTGCCCTGACCAGGAATTGAACCCCTCGCACCCTTTCGGTTTATGGGACAATGCTCCAACCAACTGAGCCACACCGATCTGGGCCCTAGATAAAAATTTGATGAAACCATTCTTGAGGATGTGTTCAAATGAGTAGAAACAAATTTTGAGGTTAAGGTAGCAGTTTAGGAATGTGACGTAAGGTTCTTGACTTGGCAACTCCTGCGGAAGTCAAAGAAAGTTTGAGACTCCTCCACAGAAGTTGGGAGAACTGGGGAGTGACTGGGTGTGGGATGGGAGGGAGAAGAAGGATTACTTGTCAGAGCCATGAGCTGAAGAGATTAAAGAATGGTACTTAATACTTTAAGCAAATTTTGACCTTTAAATCTGTTTGTTGTAAAGCTTTAGAGTTGCTCTGTGGGAAAGGGGATGGGCTTGAAGTCAGAAAGACCCAGGTTTGAAACAGTGATGTGCCGATCATTAACAGTTGTGTTTTACTTTCTTTTTCTGTAAAATGGTAACAGTAATGTGTTTACTTTGAAGGTGGTTGGGGTGGTTAGTGGTGATACATGAATGTAAAGCACCTAGCACTGTGGGCCACGTAGTAGGAGAAATAACAGTAACAGCAGCTGACAGTGAACGCTTACTCCATGCCGGATGTGCGACAGGAATTCATTTAATCTTCACAACAGCCCTCCTAGGTAGCCACTGTTTTCCCCACTCTACAGGTGAAGGAAGTGAACTTGCCGCAGGCAGACAGTAAGTGGCAACGTCCTGGCTCCAGAGCTCTTGCTCGTACCCTCTAGGCCACAGGTGCAAACACAAGGCCCACAGGTTGACTCCGGCCTCCACCTGGTTTTATCCGGCCCGCACCTTGTTTCTGCCCGGCAGCAGCGCCGAGCTCCTTTCTCTAGTTAAGGAGTAGTGACATGTATACAGTCCTAAAAATTACATCTGGCCCTTTGAAGGCAACCTCGGGGCTGTTGTGGCCCCCGGTGAAAATGAGTTTGACACCCCTGCTCTAGACCATAATGCTCATGGAGGTTCAATAAGGGCTAGCTGGTTTTTTGTTTGTTTTGCTTTGTGATATTAAATGAAAGATTGATTTTGTATCCTCGTTTGTTTTGTTTTCAGATTCTATTTATTTATTTTAAGAAAGAAGGAAAGGGAGGGAGGGAGGGAGGAAAGAAAGAAACATCTATGTGGTTTTCTCCCAACTGGACCTACAACCCAGGCATGTGCTCTGACCGGAATTCAAACCGGTGACCTTTTGCTTTGCGGAACAACGTCCAACGCACTGAGCCACACGAGTCAGGGATTCTGTATTGTTTCTTATGTGTGTGTGTGTGTGTGTGTGTGTGTATATATCAAATGCCTAGACTGGTCTCACATTTGTTTATCACTTTGGCTTCTGCCTCACTAATTAGGACCCATTGATTTTTGCTCTTGGTTTGCAGGTTTTACTTCAGTCATTTTGTCTAACAATACCTGACTTTTTGCTGTCCCCATTTAATTTTGCCCCTCTACACATGATAGGACCTTCACAAACTTTTAGCAAACTCTTACTCAGTCTTCAGGATTTGGGCCAAACATCATGCAAGAAACTCTTCCTCAGTTGCGCCTTGTCACCATAGAACCATGGGAAAGGACTGTGGATTTAGAGACAAGCAGGACTTGTGAGCATACGTCTGTCCAGAAGGCACCCAGCCATGTACTATGAAAGATAGTAGCATTTACTGAAGAAGATACAAGAGATAAGAAACTCTGTACACAGGACAATGACGCCTCAGTCCTCTTCTAAGTAGGCACCTTGGGAGTTCTCCCAGTTGCCATCACACAGTTCTCCCAATTGCCATCAGCTGCCCCATTGTATTTTCCTGAATCTCACTGATGGTTTGAGATCTCTTCCTTGTCAAAGGTGACTTTAGTTTTGGGAAAATCCAGAAGTCACAGGGTGCCAATTCTGGGCTGTAGTGGGGCTGAGTCACCTAGGTGATTTGATGTTTTTCCAAAAAACTCTGTATGAACATGATGCATGAGCAGGCGCATTGTCATGATGAGGCTACCAGTCACCAGTTGCCCATAGCTATGGTCTTCTGAATCATCCAGATAGTTTTGGTGGAGGAAAGTTCAAGCTTAGCGCAAAATTTGATGCTGATTTATTGCTCTACTCACTCAGTCATTTTGAATGTTCCAGCCACACAGTGCACATGCTCAGTCAGTGGCATATACCGCCCCCACTGACTAGTACAGTGAAGTTGTCATTGTTCACGCATGTACATTCCAGTCCTCTCTCCTTGGCTGCCAGGTTACGTCAGTGTCTTGCAGACCATTCCTGTTACATTAACAATGGCTGGACTTTTTCCGACAGACAACCACCTACAATTTTCAATTTCTACCTGATATAGAATGGTAATAGTAAAAGAAGGTATAATTTCAACTGGAGTAAAACAAGAACTATTAGACATTTGTATATGTAAGTCACTGTCGTAGATCTCATTCTTGCGATCCCGACACATGAAACTTCATAATTTACCAGTCACTGTCTTAATCAGGAGCCATCTGGTTGCAGGAACAAAATTCTGCTCATGGTGGTTCAGGTAAGGGTGAGGGGCTATTTCCAGGACCCAGGGCATCTCCTAGTCGACACTACTAAGTCTTGCACAGAACCGGGGTGGGCTGCCTCTGTTCTCTGTCTCCTACTCTCAGGGATGCGGTCTCTTAAGGCCTTACCCTCCAGGCATTCTGGTTTGCTGGGCCCAGCGATGTCTAAGTGGCAGCCACGGGACTGGGGAGCGGGCAGAGAGAGCAGTGCTGTGCGTCACGCTCTGTCTGAAGAACGTCAGAGGTAGCGCGGCCTCTCAGTGTTTTGGATTTGGTCCAAGTTTGGGGCCTGAGTTTTTTTGTTCAGCTCCAGCAAATGAACTTTACTGACCTGAAAGTATATCTTTATATACAGTACGTGATCTTTTCTCAAGAGGCTTCTTTCTCTTAATTTCCACTGTAAATCCAGTGGAAATTAGTTTATCAAGCACATGTCAATTAAATGCTGAGTTGAACTATGCCCTGCATTTTCTACTGTGATTTAAGATTTTTTTAAGCATTCAGTGATATAATTCAAATTTGAAAAATGCAAAAAAATAAAGCCAGAAGTTAACCACTTGGTTCCAACTGCTCCAAAAGACCAAAAGAAATAGAAAAAGGGGTTTTACTCCTTTAGGTATAACTGGGCTTTGAAACTTCATCATCATTAACTTTCTTCTCCTTTCTCTTCTCCCTGCTCTTCCTCCCCAACTCCATCACTTTGGTATATATTCCATAGGTCATACATACTAGAATTAATTTAATTTGAATTAGATTATCTCCAAATTTTTCTTATGTAACATTTTGATGCACATCTTTATATGGAAAGCTTTTCCATATTTAGGACAATTTCTAAAAGTAGAATTCTTGGGTCAAATAGTATCAACAGATATATCATTGCCAAACTGGTTTTGAGAAATGTTTGTAGAAATTTATACTGTCACTAACAATGCCCCCTTCACCACACCTTTCATAGTCCTGGCTGTTATAGTTCTTTTTCACATTCGTTCCTTGGATGGACAAAAAGTGGTCTCTCCTTGGAATTTTAATGGCATTTTGGTTTTTATGCATCAGTATAGATGAAGTTAGACCAGCCTGGATAAGAGTGTTTAGTTCTTTGCAATAAGGTTGTTGTAGGGTTATTTACTCAGTGTTGTTATTTAATGAATATTGGCACTTAATGTTGATTACTAAATTCGAACACTTTTGTTTTCCAGACCCTGTAAGATTTGGATATGTCCTTTATATTTGACTGGATTTACAGTGGTTTCAGCAGTGTGCTACAGTTTTTAGGTAAAGTTGGCCCATTTCTCTTAGCCATTTAAGCCTACCTTTATAAAAGTACTGATTTGTCTAGAGCCACTTTATAACATACCCAGTAGTTATGAGTGTGGGCTTTGCAATTGTACAATCATGTTTAATTATTTATTGTATCTCTTTCTTCCTCTCCATAAAAATATTGAACATATAAAAATCTTTTTTTAAAAAAAATGAAAGAAATGAGCTATTAAGCCACGAAAAGACATGAAGGACCCTTAAGTGCATATTACTAAGTGAAAGAAGCCAATCTGAAAGGACTACATACTATGAGATTCCAACTATATGACATTCTAGAAAAGGCACAAGCATGGAGACAAAAACAGAGGTTGCTGGACAGCGGGGGTGGGGTCGGGGCAGGATGGACAGGCAGAGCACAGATGGTCTTCAGGGGACCGAAAGTGCTTTGTATCATGTTATAATGACATTATAGAGGTGCAATGACAAAGGTATACCGTTATACCTTTGTCCAAACAGAGTGTACCCCACCAAGAGTGAACCCTCAGGTAAACTTCGGGTGATTGTGATATGTCAATAGAGGTTCATCCTTGGTTAAAAAGATACCACTTTGGTGAGTGACATTGATGATATGTGGGGAGAGGGGGGTTTATGGGGAATTTTTGCCTTCCTGTCAATTTTGTTGTAAACCTAAAACTGCTCTTAAAAAAAAAAGTCTTTGAAGAAAAATTATAAAAGTCAATGTGGAATTTTGCAGTAAATGCCCATCTACTACAATTTGGTCACTGCTGTCTTTTTTCTATTTATCACTTTATCAATGCTTAGTTGATGTATCTGAAATTCTGTGCTTTTTTGTTTTTTCTTAGTTTTATGAAACCATGTGAATGGTTTAACCTTATTCTAAGGGAAATTTGACAATGAACCAAACTTTCACTGAAATACTAATTTTTGTGAAAATACTTAATTTCATCCATCAAATTTGTTTTTTTAAAATCTGACTTCATAAATACATGATTTCAACTACTCTATGAACATTTCTCTAGTAGAAGACACATAGATTTTTTCCCCCCGAATTGTCAAGGGGGTGGCATTTTGACACTGCAGATAAATTTAGTTTTATAATTCTTTGAATTCCCAAATTATAATGCATTTAAAATAGCTCTTCAAAACTAAAAATAGGTCACAAATCCAAGCTTATTCAGGATAGTTTATAAAGTCTTAAAAGTTCAAAATGTATTTCTTTTCTTTTTTTAAAAAACACTTTATTTAGTTTTAGAGAGGGGAAAGGAGGGAGAAAGAAAGGGAGAGAAACATCAGTTGGTTGCTTCTCGCACGTGCCCCAACTGGGGACCTAACCTGCAACCCAGGCATGTGCCCTGACCAGAATCGAACCAGTGACCTTTTGTCCCACAGAACGAGGCCCAACCAACTGAGCCATACCAGTCAGGGCTAAAAAGGTATTTCTTTATCAAAAATCTAGAGTAATTAGGAAAAGTATCTAAATAACTAAACTGTTAATGTACTTTTACTGAAGGTCATTTTATTTGTTTTTGTTTTGAATTTCATTCAATTATTTTTAGAGAGAGGGGAAGGGAAAGAGAAAGAGTGGGAGAGAAACATCAATGTATGGTTGCCTCTCATGTGTTCCCTACTGGGAACCTGGCCTGCAACTCAGGCATGTGCCCTGACTGGGAATCAAACTGGCAACGCTTTGCTTCAGAAGCCCATGCTCAATCCACTGAGCTACACCAGCCAGGGCATGAAGGTCATTTTATTTGGATAACTTGTGTCAGATATTACTTTGACTAATCATAGCTCTCTCTACAGGATTATATAAGAAAACTGGTAAATTGGTATTTCTTGGACTGGATAACGCAGGAAAAACCACCTTGCTGCACATGCTAAAAGATGACAGACTTGGGCAGCACGTCCCGACGCTGCATCCCAGTAAGCACCCTCCCCGTGCCGGGTTATCACTTTTAGCGACACCGACTCATAGATGCAACCGAACTGTTTTTGTTTGGGGGGTTTTTTGGTGGATAAATTATAATCAGGTGACTTGACCTGTTTTTAAATAATAAATAGTAGGTGACCCAATTCCCAGAGAGTATATTTAAATCTTGAAACAATACTCATATGTTTTTATCAGTTAGTACACCCTTCTCCAGCCAGAGGAATTAAAAAGTTATTGTCTCAGGGACTGTGATGTAATCGAGGCCTGTCCGACCAGATGACACCGAGGCTGCATGAGTCCACATAACCTTGTTTGCATGAACCATGACTGAACACATACCGTCCTGTATATAAGTTTGTGTAATACATACCTTTTGAAAAAGTGAAGTTAAACTGACAAAGTTATTCCAAAGAAGCTTAACTTACCAATAACTGGAATCTCACTTTGACTGTTGAAAAGACTGAGTCAAGTAGACACAGAGTTTAAAGACAATTTAATCCACAGATTGATTATGAAATAATGAGCGTAGTGTTAATAATAAGTATAACATTGAGAATTGGACCAAAAAATAGATAGTATGATAGTTATCTAGTTTAGTAAATAATTGAAGAATAAGGAGTGAGAACAGGACAAAACAAGTGCCATTTTATCTATAAAACTATTAGTGAAGTTGGAAAAGGGAAGATTTCATAAAATTGACAAATCTTTTTTTATATTAGGAGAAGAGAGTGGGATATGGCAAATAAGATTGTGATACAAGAACAGTACTGTTAGAGGAAATTGATCATGGTGAAATTGAGTTTATAAAATTGTCTGCAAAACAGCAGAATTGGACGAGACTATATTAGGTGTAAGTCGCATTTTAATTTTTTTAAAAATATTTTATTTATTTATCTTTAGAGGGGAAGGGAAGGAGAGAGGAGAGAGGGAGAGAAACATCAATGTATGGTTGCTTTTCGTGTGTCCCCTGCTGGGAACTGGCCTGCAGGGAACTGGTCTGCAACCCAGGCATGTGCCCTGACTGGGAATCGAACCGCGATTGTCTGGTTTGTAGGCCCGCGCTCAATCCACTGAGCTACACCAGCCAGGGCATTTTAATTTTTTGATGTTGCTGTCTCGTGTCTATTCAGTGGACACCTATTGAGCGCCTGCTTTATGTCAGACGTTGCTCTGGGTGCCAGGAGTGAAAGCAGTGGCACAAACCTGTTGCTATCTCAGCCTTCCCGCTGCTCACCTTCACTTCAGTTCATATCTCTCAGTTCATCAAAAGGATGCGTGAAAAAAGTAATGAGTCTACCCTGTGAGCTGGCAGTTCCACTGCCAGGTATTTATTCAAGAGAAATGAAAACAGACTTCCGGCCAAGATGGAGGCGTAGGTGGAAACACTATGTCTCCTCGCACAACCAAGTTTAAAGACAGCAAAGCTTTAGTAACAAAAACGCAGCCAAAACACAGAAAATTGAATTGTACGGAAGTCCAACAACAACGAACCATTCAGCCAGACCGGTAAGAGGGGCAGAGCCAGCTATTGGCAGAGCAGGGTCGGGCAGGAAAGATCAGCCAGAGTGACCCAGGAGCACAGGCAGCAGTTGGCAGATCCCAGGTGTGGGTGGCAACAGGCGGACCCAGTGAGGGCGCAAGGTTGCTGGCTGACTGTGGTCATACACTCATGCGCAGATAAACCAGGCAAAAGGAGCAAGCAGTGAGACAGACTGCAGGCTAGGGCCACAGCAACAGGAGTGAAAGCCTAAAAGCATCAATTGGAAAGACTTTCGGGGTTGAGGTGCTAGGAGAGGCTCCCAGGCTCACAGAGAGTTTGTTGGAGAGACCCACAGGGTCCTGGAGGGTGCACAAGCCTACACACCCGGGAGCCGGCACCAGGGGGGCCAGGTTTGCTTGCGGGAAGCAGCAGAGGGGACTGAAATCCAAGACAGAGCAGACCAGATGCCATTGCCCCTCTCTGACCCCACCCCCACATACAGCATCACAACCCAGCGACTGGGTCACCTCACCCTGGTGAACACCTGAGGCTCCATCCCTCATACGTAACAGCACTACAAAGACCAAAACATTATGGCTCAAGAACAGCTCAAAGCCCCAGAGCCAATACTTCTAAGCAACCAAGAGATAACCAACCTTTCAGATGCACAGTTCAAAACACTGGTGATCAGGATGCTCATAGAACTGGTTGATTTTAGTCACAAATTAGAGGAACAAATGAAGGCTAAACTCATTGAAATGAAGGGAAATGCACAGGAAACCAATAGTAATGGAAAGGAAACTGGGACTCAAATCAAGGGAGTGGACCAGAAGGAAGAAAAAAAATGACCAAACAGAAAAGAATGAAGAAACAAGAATTCAAAAAAAGGAGGAGAGTCTTAGGAATCTCCAAGACATCTTTAAATGTTCCAACATCTGAATTATAGGGGTATAAGAAGGGGAAGAGGAAAAGCAAGTGGAAAACTTATTTGAACAAATAATAAAGGAGAACTTCCCCAATCTGACAAAGATAATAGACTTCCAGGAAATCCAAATCCAGGAAGCTCAGAGAGTCCCAAAGAAGTTGGACCCAAGGAGGAACACACCAAGGCACATCATCATTACATTAGCCAAGATTAAAATGAAGGAGAGAATCCTAGAAGCAGCAAGAGATAAGGGGACAGTTACCTACAAAGGAGTCCCCATCAGACTGTCAGCAGATTTCTCAAAAGAGACCTTACAGACGAGAAGGGACTGGAAAGAAGTATTCCAAGTCATGAAATCCAAAGACCTACATCCAAGATTGCTCTATCCAGCAAAGCTTTCATTTAGAATGGAAGGGCAGATAAAGTGCTTCTCAGATAAGATCAAATTCAAGGAGTTCATCATCACCAAGCCCTTATTATATGAAATGTTAAAGGGACTTACCTAAGAAAAAGAAGATAAAAAATATGAACGGTGAAAGGACAGCAAACTCACAGTTATTAAGAACCACACCTAAAACAAAAGCAAACTAAGAGGACAGCTAGATCAGGAGTGAACCATAGAAATGAAGATCACATGGAGGGTTAGCAGCAGAGGAGTGGGAGAAGGAGAAGGGGGGAGAAGGCATAGAGAATAAGTAGCATAGACGGTAGGTAGAAAATAGGGGGGAGGACAAGAATAGTATAGGAAATATAGAATCTAAAGAACTTGTGACACATGGACATAAACTAAAGGGGGGAATGGTGGGGGAGGGGTGTGCAGGGTGGAGGGGAATAAAAGGGGGAATAGGACAACTGTAATGGCATAGTCAATAAAATATATTTTTTAAAAAGAAGAGAAATGTTCACCAGAACCCCTGTACAGGAATGTTTATAGTAGTGTTGTCATAGCCCAAAACTGGAAACAGCTCAGAAGTTCACCAGAAAAAGAGTGGGTAACCAGTGGGATTCCAGTCAGCAAGCAGGAGGAATAACCACTGGTGCACATACTAGTGCACGTCATACTGCAGGGAAGAAGCTGGTTACAAGGAAATTGCACACTGGATGCTCCTATTTCTGTAATTCCAGAACAGCCCGGACTAACCTGTGGTGGCCGATTCAGATCAGCAGTTGTTTCTGGGAGTGGAGGCAGGGACTGCGTGGGAAGGGGCTAGAGGACACTTCCCGGGTCGTTAACAGTGTTCCGCATCTTAGTTAATCACATGGGACTTTTTAGTATAACTGAGGAGGTAGTTTGAAAACCACGTCCAAGCGTTATCTTTTCCTTATGGAAAGGAACACACTTGACCACAAATTGCATGAACTGTTTATTTAGTTGGCACACTGTGTACAGAATTTCTAACAAGATAAACTACTCTGGGGCCTTAGCAGTTACTGAATAGTAAACAATTACACCGAACCTTTCATTGTATTGTAGGAGACTTCTGCTTTTGGCCATGAGGGAGTAACAGAGTCTGGAATTACCTTTCCACTGTAAACAACTAGGAAACGGGACAAAAGTGTATCAGATAGGAGACAGCAGCGAGCATATGACTGTGACTCCTGACAGAAGGAAAGCAAACCCTTCCTTCTCTAGTCGAGCTTTACTGCAGGAGACAATCCTCAGACCACGGTGCAGGGAGTGGAAAGCCAGATGTAACCCAGAAGTCTTGCTGAGTTGAGGAGACGGAGACCAGCATTTGGAGAGGCAGAGGTGACTAGCATTTGCTGGGTGAGAGTACCAGAGAGAAAGGAGCTCTGTAGAGAAAGAACTCCAGGAATTGTTGTGGCTGAATACCAGTCTGCGGGCATAGGGGTAAAACTCCACGTGGCCAAAAAACAGTTTCTGGAGGAGAGGTTATAGCAGAGCTGTTAGCCAAATAGTTCCTAGTGCTCACATGGCCCCAGGAGTCATTCATGTTCCCATCAGCCCGGGTGGAGAGATCTGGTTGAATACACAGGACATTTGATAGACACTCCAAAAGGATCAGACCTTAGTAATGGGTTAAAGTAGCCTCAAAGTAAAGGCTACTTTAGATCTGCCCTAACAAAGCTTAAAAACTGGTCTGTGATCAGTATAACTGCCTGTCAGAACAAAGGCCACTTCCTTCAAAAAAATATTGACAAAATCCACCATCCAATCAAAAAATTATTAGACATGCAAAAAAGCAGAAAAGTACAATCCATACCCAGGAGAAAAATCAATCAGTAGAAACAGATCTAGAACTGACAAAGATGATGGAATTTGCAGATAAGAAAGTTAAAACAGCTGTTCTGAATGTGCTTGAGTGTTTAAGGAAAACGTGAACATAATGAGAGAAATGAAAGATGTAAAAGAACCAAATGGAACTTCCAGAAATAAAAAAAAATGAGTATCTGAGATGGAATTTTCACTGGATGGAACTAACAGCGAATTAGTGCCAGAACTGCAGAAGGAAAGGCCAGTGAACTTAAGTCAATGCACTAGAAACAGAAGATGTAGCACAGAGGGAAATAGGGACTGGAGAACACAAACAGGGCCTCAGTCGCTGTGGGGCGATGCTGAGCCGCCTCACAGGCCTGTTCTTGAAGTCCCAGCGGGAGAAGGTAAGGAGTGGAAAAAACGTTTGAAGAAATAATGGCCAACTGTCTTTTGTCATCATTGCGTTGTCATTAAAGACTGTCCCCTGTAAAACTTGACAGCCATGAGAGAACACTGTGTATTTCACCTGTATTGTTTAAGCCGACTCAACTTGCAGGAAAAATGATTAGGTTGGAAGAGTCACTTGAATTCACAAAAAATAATTGTCTGAATAGATTAATGTTTCCAACAGGAGAAATGGGGAAGGAAAAATAAGTAAGTGGTGGATTTGTCATAGGCAGTAAATGCTAGAACTGAATATTACCGTCACTGGTGGCACATGGTCACTGTGAATTGGAGTAAATCTAAGTCCGACAGAGAATTCCTTTATTAGTTCCTAACTGTTTGATTTGACCTTAATGGCCATTAAAATAAGTCAAACATTAAGCAATATATACCATGAATGGATTTCTGATTTTCATGTTATAAAAATATGTTTTTTTATTATTTAGCTTCAGAAGAACTAACCATTGCTGGCATGACCTTTACAACTTTTGATCTGGGAGGACACGTTCAAGGTAAGATTCAATTCCTCTTACAGTGGCTTTATTTCAACCTAGTGAAAAGGTGACTGTGATGTTCCAATGCGTGCGTGAAGTCTCCTCCGGCTCAAGGAAGGCCAGAGAAGACTTAACATTTAGGAATTATTACCCCCAGATAAATGTTTTAAAAGCAAAGGGTGATTTTTCATGAAACTCCATGTCAGTTTAAGTCGGAAGTGCTTTTGGAGTAAGGCACATGAGCCAAACTGAGCCTGTGTTCTCTCTGCCCTAACCCGCCTCTCACTCACTGTCACAGCATGTAGTGACTGTCACTGCTCTGTATGAAAAACCTTCACTGGCTAAGTCTTCACCTACAAATTAAAGGCCAGACTCGTAGATCTGGCCTTTGGGATCCGTACGATCTGATTCCAGTTCACTTCTCAAGTCTTTATTTCCCACCGTTCCCCTTCCCATTCTCTTTACTCCAGCCAGACCGAACCTCCCGGTGTTCTCCCGCCTCTGTGCTTTTGCTCACGCCACCCCATCTGCACATGAGCGGCCCACCTCGGGGCCCAGGGTGAGGGCTGCTACCTTCCCCGAGGAGCTGTGCCCAGCCGGGAGTGCTCCCTGCTACACGTCCGCAGCTCCGAGGGCACTTGTGTGCATGTCTACAAGTTCGGGATAACTGTCTCATCTCCTCTCCCAAACTTTCTGGGACTAAAACCCTGTTCATTTGTTCTGTCTGCAAAAGGATTTGGCAGTACCCAGCACACAGCAATTCACAAATGAAGAATGGTACAAAGTTGGTGGGCCTTCTAAAAGCCTCATGAAAAATAGTGGAAAAGATTTTAAGTGATTGTGGCTAGTGAAAGCACATCTGAGACATAATGATCATTTGAAATACACATAAAGTAATTTCTGGGATAAAATACTTAGAAGGAATTAGATCCTATTGGAACTCATCTGAGACTTCATTTCTATATTTTTTGTAGGATATGTCATAAAACTGAAGTCAGAGAAAAAAGGTCTTTTCCTCTGGAGTATCCCAAAAACTCTTTTCTCTAGAAAAGAATGCCATGGGAAAAACTACCCTAATGGCACTATAGACTAAGTTCTGTTACGAATGGAACAGTTTGCTTTTATTATTTTAACTTAAGTCTGTACCTGGTACTGATTTCCTTCTGCCACTGACTCCAAATTTACCATTGGCAAAAACCCAAAAAACTGATACACTGGAAATGTCAAAAACCGAATATGCATAAGAAAATAGTAGCAGTTCTCCAATGAACCTAACGCGAGCATCGCATTGTCCATTGGTAACAGATGGGAATTCTTCTAACATGGGGTAACTGGGGCACAGGAAGGCGTCGACTTGCCCACCATCAAGGAAAGCCTGAAATTTCTTCTTCTGGAAAGATCTGGACAACACTGGGTAAAAAATTAACTCGAGTATATAGCGAAGTAGCAGCAGCTAAGGGATAATTACATTTGATATCTTATTGGACTTTCATCAAAGCACCTGCTAGCTTTGACCAGCAAATGAAATCTAACTCCTGATTGTTTTTGTTAGCTCGAAGAGTGTGGAAAAACTACCTTCCTGCTATCAATGGCATTGTATTTCTGGTGGATTGTGCAGACCATGAAAGGCTGGTAGAATCAAAAGAAGAACTTGATGTAAGTTAAATGATTAAAACGAAACAGAGTTGAGTTGCTAGGAAGCCTGAGAAAATAGGTTGGCCATCTAGGTGTCAGAGCGCAGCTTTTCTGCAGTCTCCCATGTACCTCCTGGCAATTGGTAGAGCGCGGTGACCACTTAGAATGCAGAGCGAGCAGCTGTTGAGGAAGTGCCAGCACAGACCTCCTTCTTGAAGACTTGTGCTCCTTCTGTGCAGCGTGCCCTGTAGCGTATGTCATGTGGCTCCATTCCTGGAGTGGCTTGATCTTGAGTCCTGGTCATACTAGGATGCCAGCTTCTTAAGGCTAGAACCTGGAAATGGTGTAACGTACTATCTTGGTCACCTCTGCCAGGAAGGAGCAGGGCCATGAGCAGCAGGCAAGGCCAGTGCTAGATCTAGGGCCTCAGAGAGAGCAGGCCCGTGATTTGTCTGAAGGTTGGCTTGCTCATGCCTCTGCCCAGAACAGGCACACAGATTCTTGTTCATGTGAAAAGTCCAGGTAGGCTCTGTGGTCGTGAAACAGGGCCAGGGAGTTCCTGAGTTGCCACCTGATGCCGCACACGATGCATATTACCTCATTTAATCCTAATTCTCAAAGCGCCTCCATAATGTAGGTGCTGCTGCTCTAAACTCTCTTTGAATCTCAGAGAGACCTACTTGTCCAAGATCTCCCAGCTTGGAAGCAGCAGAACTAGAAATGAAACCAGTCTGCCCTTTTTCAAGGCGTTGGCTCTGGTCCCTGTACCTCCCTGATGCACAGAGCAAGCAGCGTGAGCATCCACAGAAGGAGCCTTAGGGAGGCGGAAGGATTGAGCTGGTGGTTCACTGAGCTCACTTTAAACAGAGGGAAAGTTTGCAAAAAAAAGTTGGCAAAACTGGCACGTCGTGATGGAGAACGAGCCCTTTGTGCCCGTTTGTTTTGTCAAAACAGTCCTTCGGAGGGCTTCATACTGACATTTTGTGTTTCTTTCTGTTTTGATTGTTTTCAGTCACTAATGACAGATGAGACCATTGCTAATGTGCCTATACTGATCTTCGGGAATAAGATCGACAGACCTGAAGCCATCAGTGAAGAGAGGTTACGAGAGATATTTGGTTTATACGGTCAGACAACAGGAAAGGTAAAAAAGAAGTTTGACAAGTGCGAATATCTCACTCAACAGTATATTTTTATCTTCTGAAATAGTTTATTTCAGCCCCTAACAGTAATCATGTTTTTTTGTTGTTGTTTGTTTGTTTGTTTTTAAGATTTTATTTATCTTTTAGAGAAGAAGGGAAGGAGAGAAGGAGAAATATCAATGTATGGTTGCCTCTCATGAGTCCCCTGCTGGGAACTGGCCTGCAACCCAGGCATGTGCCCTGATTGGGAATCGAACTGCAATCGTGTGGTTCGCAGGCCTGTGCTCAATCCACTGAGCTACACCAGCCAGGGCAGTAATCGTGTTATTAGTCTAATTGGTACAGTCTGGCTTCATTTTTTAAAAAAATTAAGGTATAATTGACATTATACCTTATAACATTATACTATATATTATAACCATATAATATAACATTATGTTAGTTTCATGTGTACAACAAAATGTGTTTTTACGTTACTATCATCCAACTACAAAAGCCCATTATTTTTTTTCTTAAAAACTATCATTTACTGAACATAACTAATAATTAGGGAAATGCAAATCAAAACCATATGCACACCAGTCAAAATGGCTATTATCAAAAAGTTAACAAACAGCCCTGGCTGGTGTGGCTCAGTGGATTGAGTGCCGGCTTGCGAACCAAAGGGTCGCTGGTTCAATTCCCGGTCAGGGCACAGGCTTGGGTTGCAGGCCAGGTCCCCAGTAGGGGGCATGTAGGAGGCAACCACACATTGATGTTTCTCTCCCTCTCTTTCTCCCTCCCTTCCACTCTCTAAAAATAAAAAAAAAATCTTATTTAAAAATTTAAGGAAAAGTTAACAAATAACATATGTTGGCAAGGACGTGGAGAAAAGGGCAGCCTTGGGCACTGCTGGTGGGAATGCAGACCGCGGTGCAGCCGCTGTGGAAAACAGCAGGGAGGGTCCTCAGAACATTAAAAGGAGAACTACAGTATGACCCAGCAAGTCCACTTCTGGGCATTTATCTGAATTAGTTGAAAACACTAATTAGAGAAGATCTGTACACTCCTGTTTTCAGTGCGTGTGTGTTAGGCAGCAATTAGAAAAGAAATTTTGCCATTTGCAGCAACGTGAATGAACCTGGAGGCCACTGTACCGAGTGGATCAGAGTGAGACAAGTACTGTATGGTTTTACTTCTATGTGGAATCTGAAAACAAACAAAACAAAGCAGAAACAGACACCCTGCTGAGGGCGGGGGGTGGGTAGAAAAGCTGAAGGGGAACAAGCCAATAATACTGTGATAAGTTTGTAGGTGACAGGTGATGACTGGAATTGGTGGGGGGACCACACTGAGGTACACGAATGTTGAATTACTATATGGTACACCTGAAATTAATAGAACTAATATAACGTTGTATACCACCTATACTTAAATAAAAATGCCTGTCATTTACACATTTGGGCCTTTTTTAATGTCCTCACTTGTTTTTTTTCTACCACTGAATGAGACCTTTTCTTGGTGATAAAAATGTCAAAGCTCATGTTTATAGGAAACTAAATGAAAGCTTTCAAATTTTTTTAAAAATAAGTTTTCAGAATCAACTACCAAATAATATGCTTGAATGTTTAAACATACCATTGGTGTATTTAGGCCCCCAGTTCAGTGTTAAGGCCCTGAACTCACTAGACACAAAAATAGAATGTAAGTAAACTTGGGCGTAGGAGCGTTTTAGTGTTTTCTGAACATATACTTTAAAAAGATGTATTTTTGCATTCGTTTCTACTAGTATTTGTTTGGGAGAGGGACTTTTAGTAACTCAAGTCCATATTAATTTTAGGAAATGCCTTGTTTTGTCATAAAACCTTCACTCAGAGAATATTTGTCCTTAATATTTGTGAAGCCAGTTTGAGCAACTTCAGTTTTTTCCAAGCCAGTCAAAGATTGTTTGTATTCTGTGTGCCTCACAGGCCAACCTCTGTCCCATTCTGTCCTAAAGCAAAACGAGAGGACACAGGTGCCAGCTGTGGCTTGATCCCCGCCACCTGTTGTTCTGAGACATAGAAACTGCCTCTCTCCTGGGGCGCGGAGCTCTCGTTTCACAAGGGCTCTCGGCATAGTGTCTGTCTTCTCTTCCAGGGCAACGTGCCTCTGAAAGAACTGAACACCCGGCCCTTAGAAGTCTTCATGTGCAGCGTGCTCAAAAGGCAAGGCTACGGAGAAGGCTTCCGCTGGATGGCCCAGTACATCGATTAACAGCCCCTGCCACCGAGGCAGCCCCGGTCCAGCCTCGCCACACAGGCCTGCTCCGAGATTTGATTGCTGACCATGCATAACTTGAATTCAATAGACTTTCATTGGTTAGAAAACAGATATTTTTTAGATTATTAATATTATATCAACTTAATTTGAGTGAGAATTGAAATCCGAGTCAAATAAGTTTGACCATCACAATGTTAGCTTTCTAATTCCATGAAGATACTTGGTTTTTACTCTTTGTAATCTGACACGCCCCCCAGTGCCATTTATGAAGAGCAGCTTCCCAGCAGGACAGTTGAAGCCGTTTTTAACAATATGAAACTGCAAATATAAACCACAATTAAAAGCTCATCATGTTAAATTTTTATGTACTTTTTGAAACTAGTTTTTCAATTTTAGATTATGTACACCCACCTACCTGAAGTGTACAGCTAATAATTAGCTTATTGATGATTGCATGATGCCTTACAGGTTTCAGTATTTTTTCTTATGCAAAAGTCATGCAATAAAACAGACCCTGGTGTTTGGCATTGCTGCTGGACAGATGTTCCGTTCAGGGTCTCACCTGGCCAGCGCGCCCGGACCCTGGAGCGTTTCTAGTGTACGTGGAGGTTGTTGCCGAGAAACAAGCCTGCCTCAGAACACTCAGATGTTGCAGCCCTGGGGACGTCCCCGCCTGCCAGGGGACCGGCTGCTCTTGGTTGTCCCTCGCGCCGCATTTCTCTGAACCGGTGAATTTTTGCAGCGACACTGGCATCCCCGGTACCGAGGGGGTCCGTGTCCCGGCCCCCATGGGACTGCATCTGGAGGAAAACACTGCTCCCCGTGCAGCAGGAGGCCCCTCCTGTAGCCCCGTTCCAGTTGTCTCTCTCTGGAGTGCGTCGGTCTTCCTTGTGCCTGCTTTGGTCATCTGTGCCCCGTCACCAAATGTGACAGGCACCAGTCTCCCCACATTCATACTTCATGGCACTTCCCAGGGCAAGCGACCCGTGGGGAAGCGGAGCCTGTCCTGCTGCAGCAGCCCCGCCGTGCGGGTTGCGGGGTTTGGCCCCCGCCCTGAGCCACGTTTGCATCCTACTCCGTATTTCACTTCTTGGAAAGAAAGTGAACGCTTGTGGTTCATTGTCCTTTTCCTCAGTGGCTCTCAGCCAGCCATTCGCAGTGCGGCACAAAGGCTTTTATTTTTGGAGGTGAGGCTTGTCCTTGGCCGTGTGCGCGAGCCTCGCCGACAGCTTCACCAGCAAAGGCGTGGCTAGCTTTTTAATGCATTCTAATTTCCTAAGACAGTGAGTTATTTTTCCATTTAAGATCCCCCTAGTTAGTAAAATCAGATGAAAGATAAGTGCCAACTATGTATCTTTACAGACTCTCAAGCTTAAGATCTCTCTGTTGGTTATAGGCCAAGATTTTACAGTGTATTTAACCAACTGCATTGAGAATATATTGCTCCAGTGCCATCCAGAATAGTTTAAATATTAAAATTAGTGTTTTCTCTAGCTGTTGTCCAAATCAGCTTCTCTTGTCCTCTCGTCAGCGATGGGAGATAGGAGCGGACGAGGACTGAGGGCCTGGCTGGGACTCTGAACAGAACGTGCGGGTGCAGTAATTTGGCTATTTCACTTTCAGCTTCCTCCCTGCTTAGAAACGTCAGTAGCACCATGGGAAAGGTAGGAAATGACATTTCAGCCTGTTGGTTCATTATGTTTAAGGTCCTCACTTGTGATGCCCTCACTACACAGAACTGGGCCTTATTGGAAGTGACTGCCACTGGTGGATGGAATGCTCCTTCAGTTCAAGTATTATTTCCTAATATCTGTGGTGATGCATCAGAAGTCAACTACTAGTCTCACAGATTGGTATGAAGGCAGAAGCTTACCAGTTTTTCCAGAGGGGGAACAATGCTTTTTGGTACAAACTGCCTTGCTCCAGAATTCTCATTCTCGTTCTGACTCCGGGATCAAAGAAACCAAGTCACTCTGTGGACCGCATCTAATAAACTGTGGGCGTTTTCCCACTGACGTGTGGCCTGAACCCCTAGAAAGAGCTACATGTAGCAGCCACATCTGTCCTCTGAGCGCCAGGGACACAGGCCTGCAGAGTCCCCAGCCAGGGGCCGCACTCCGGCTCCTTGGCTCCTTGGGCTCTCACCCTGAGCCCCTGAGCCCCACCGCCCAGGAGGGCGGCAGGGAGTCGTACGGCGCTCCGGGGGAAGCCTGTGCGGGTGTGCACGCCTCGGGGGGGCTGGCAGGTGGACGGCCTGGGGGTGCAGATTAATGTGCCTCCACTGCACGGCGTGGAAATGTGCTTGTTAACGCTCACGTGCAGGGTGAGATTTGGTTCCTTCTATGTTGGGCATGTCCAAAAGATGTGTTAAAATCTTAGTTCCAAAACCAAAAATACAAAGTCTCAGTCCACTTTCGTATTTCTAAGGAGATTCTCAACCCCACACCTATTTCAATGACTGCTGTTAATGTTATTTGGGTAACTGGTTCAGTGGATAGATTCCAGCTTGTCTTTATCTCAGTCTTTTTAGAATGGAGAGCACAGCATTTTCTGAATCGGGGCGTAGACACTCCCTAAAGCACAGTCGTGCCCCCTTCTCTCATGGGAGACAAGTTCCAAGGCCGCCCGCTGGGGTGCCCAAAACCGCAGACAGCACTGAGCCCTCTGTGCTGTGTTTGTATTTTTTTTGCAATGCATATATAGCTTTTTGCTGTAAGGAAGCACTTTATGGCTCCTCGGCATATTTGAATGCCATTACTCCGTTGCTTCAGGCCTGTTGTTAAGTAAGAGAGGGTCGGTGGGGCCGGGCGCTGACACACTCGTGCCAGCTGCTGAGTGACCGACGGGCAGGTTGTGTACCAAGTGGACTCACTGGACAGAGGGATGGCTCACGTCTCGGGTGGAGCAGGGTGGGCGGCGTGAGATTTCATCACAGTGCTTTTCTCAGAGTGGTGCGCAGTTTAAAATGTGTGGGTTTTTTATTTTTGGAATTTTCTATATAATATTTTTAGATATTGGTTGACCGCTCGTACCTGAAACCTCAGAAAGTGAAACCGCGGATACCGGGGGGGGGGAACCACTGTGTATGAAAACTACTCCTTACCATCGCTTAGTTAACCCAGTATCTTTGAGTGCCAAAGACGTGTGAATTTAGACACTGCCTGCACAGACCTAAATTTTAGTTCTGTGTGCCTGTGTACGTAAGCACCATGTACTGTGGTTTACAATGTCTGAGCAGAATGCTGTTGCTTTTCCTTAGTTTTCAACTGGCTCACACTTCTCCACAGCGCTTCCCAGGATTAAGGACGTGGACCCCTTGTAAACCACCAGGACAGGGCACTGGCTGTGCTGATAGTGTTGCTCGCCTTCTGCAGAATGATTTCATCAGCCACATTCAAAATCCAGCATTTTCCCGAATCCCACCATTAAAAACTATACCTTTACATCAGTGTGTTTTTTTTCTTTCCCTCTAAAATAAATGTATCCTGTAGTGAGGATTGAACACAAACAGTGTACTTTTTACTTGACATGATTTGAGAGATTCAGGAGAAAGATTCACGTTTTGTAGAACTGTAAGTGGTGTGCAGCCAAGTGTGGCCTTTGTCTCGTCAGTCGCACGTGTGACTGAAGTTTGCAAGAATTCATTGCCAAATATTTTTTTTACCACAATGCACTGATAACAGCTACTATAAAGGAAGTCTCTCAAAAAAATCTTGTGTTCATTTTCTTTAGTGGATAATGTTTGGATCATCTTAAACATGATGTAAAAGTTGGTAAAGCTTCAAAAAATTCTCCAGGAAAGCATGGCAAGTAGAGGGTAGCAAATACAAATTCCTTAATTTAAAGTGAATAGGAACTTAAAGGTTTTCTATAAGCCTTTGCTGCATTTTGATGTAAGTATGGATTCAGAAAACAATAAATCTTGAGTGAAAGAGAAAATTCTCAAAGCTCCACATTGATGCTTCTGGTCATTTCCATCATTACCCTTCTTTGGAAATTAGTGCTTTGTAAGCAAATAACAAAAAAGAAAAAGAACAAGCCCTTGTAATGTGGGACTGTCCCTCTGTGTAAAGTGACAAGGATTTCGTTAAAACCACGCCTCCAGTCCTGACCCTTCACACACACCCCTGCCCCACACCAGGACAAAAAGATCCCCGTGTGGGAACGGAATCTCCAGTCTATCGAAGATGCCGCTCTGCCACCACCAATTCTTGTCCTCGTAAAATTTAGAGCATTGAGTAGCTGGTACGCGTAAGGCCCCTGGCTGGTTGCTCGGGGCCTTGACCACACTTTTGAGTAGAGTCTGAAGTAACCAGTCAAGTAAGCAAGCTCATGTGAAGCCCACTTTGTCTCAGGGGTGTTTTCACCCCGAACTGATTTTAGGGCAGGAATGGGAAAGGCTTGTGTGTGGTTTTACACAGAACTGTTTTTGGAAACCACTGGAGTAGATGAATTCGTCAGCATGTAGTTCAAATACGGGAGGGAATATTAGGTTTAATGTTAGTTTAAAAATCTTGGATGTAAGCCCTGGCTGGCGTGGCTCAGTTGGAGTGTCATCCTGTAAACCAAAGGTTGCGGGTTCATTCCTGGTTGGGGCACATGCCTGGGTTGTGGGTTTGTCCCCAGTCAGCACAGGTTCAAGAGGCAACCAATCCATGTGTCTCTTTTTCTCTCTCTCTAAATATCAATGACCGTGTCCTCAGGTGAGGATAAAAAAAATTCCCTCGGAGGTTAAAAAAATGTCTTAAAAATGAGTGGACGAAAAAGGGGGACAGTTCTGCAGTGTCCACCATCCGAGTTGTCTTGGGAGCTTTTTGCTGTCAAGTGTGAGGGTTCGCACCAGAACGGCCAGCTCTGCACGGGTTCCTGACTCCAGTCCCCGGTGCCGCTCCTCGCCCGGCCCAGTCGGCCGCCACACTGAGGCCGCAGCGCTCAGGGCAGACGCAGCCGAGAGACTTCCTGAGTGGTCCGTGTTCCCCACAGTGGGGCCTCCAGGTCCTGGCTGAATGCAGTGTGCTGTGGTGGTGAGGTGGTGACACGCTTCTCCTCACTAACCCTGTCTGCACTTTGCATACCGCTGGCACGAGCATCTTAGTGTGGTTTTAACCGTTGTTTTACAGTGTGTACAGATTGTTAAGCATAATTTATAGAAAGATGTTTCTGTTTACCTTGATGTATTTTACAAAGAACTGTCAATACAATAGATAGTAAATGTTCTTGGATTGTGTTTGTATGTTATTTTATTATGTTCTATTACCCCTTCATCCCATATGGATTTGACTGTCAGGAGCAGAAAAATAAAACGCCAACCTAGACTCTGAAAAACGCTGGTTTCAAGTGCCATTTTAACCGTCCAATTGTAATTTTCATTTTACTCATTAGACCGTGGAACTGGGAGGATGATAGGACTTTCCCTTTGTACCAGGACCCACGGGAACTGCTGGAAGTACCGAGGGTTACTCTGCCTTGTGAGACGGACCACGACTGTGGGCAAACCAAAGCAGGACCCTACAAAGCCACCTCTGTTGGAGAAGTAAGGTAGCCAATTGGTTTTCTCTCCATGAGGGTTCTGCTAGTGTGCATCAGTCTCCTGGGGCTCTTTAACACCACCCCCCCCCACACACACACACGGAGGGAAAAAATCCCACCAAAGCCTGACTCAGCAGATACAGGGCCGGCGGGGGTGGGGTGGGGTGGGGCGGGGTGGGAGCAGCGATCTGAACCTGTGACAAGCTCCGCACCTTTTCTGGGGCCTGTGTGGATTTTTCATTCAGGAGAAGCAGTGCCATAACAGTACTAACGACTAACAACACTAAATGATCATTAGCTATTCAGAGAAGAAAAAAATCGTTTTGGGAATGATGGTCAAAAGCTCCTTTTGAGACTTAAATGCAAATATGAAACCTTACGACAGCCATCCGTTCAGCCTTCCCACGCCCCACGTGCAGAACGGCGATGAGCTTTGTGCCAGCTTCCCGACAGGACCCCTCCCTCCGCCGGCTCTGTTATCGTCGGCTCTGTCAGATGGAGACTTGCCTGTGGACTCCCGTTATTTGTTGAATTGAGACAGAAATTACAACTGCATTGAAGGGACAAATGCTAATAAAGTCCAGGGTATTCTGCTCTTTTTTTTTTAATTGAGCTCCATAATCATCAACTAGAATGTCTGATACTTGTACCAATAATGCAAGCGACAGCCCCCAGCAGGGTCTGAGAAGCACCTTGGTGGGACAGGGAAACTTCCTAGGAAACGAAGCAGATGCAGCCCTTTGGGCACTGGCCACCGTCCTCCTTGAAACGTGAGAACAGCAGCACAGAAGCCAAGTGAGTAACAACGGACGGACATCCTCCTCCGACGACAAAACGAAGGTCCTTGCACGAGGCTGATGGCTCCCCTCGGGGTCCGGTTCATTCACAAAGGTCACGGCCCCTGTTTACAAAGCCTTTTACGTTGGCTTGTTTAAAAGGAGACACCAAGTCTCCATTTTGTCTGTTACTTAGTAAACAACGGAAGCCTTACTTTGGAAGTCGGAGTTTGATTGGGACACTGGTGAACTGAAGATGTGTATTGAAGTCGCTGTGACATCAGAGGTGGCAGTGTGCCCTTTCAGACAAGCTGATTATGATGCAGGGAGCAACTGAAGCGCTCTCCCCCTGGACCGCAGTGAGAGGTCTGGGGGCGGGGTGCAGTCGGAAAGCGAGAGGGGGCGGGAGTAACTGAAGGTGGGGTGCAGGGGGACAGGCGGAGAAATACCTGGGATCACAACCGAAATTCTCTACGCTGCTTTCTTGAGCTAAAAGGAGCCGTGTGTGAAGTTCCACAGTGGAATCACAGTCCCATTTCAGCTGAAATTAGCAAAATCTCAGACACTAGAGAGATCACAAATAATTATCAAGCACCATTTTGAGGTTCGCTCCCAGGATGGGCAAGGGTTTGGGTGGAGGTCTCTCTAGACCCACCTTGGGGTTGGCAAGTCCCACCGGAGACTGCAGCCCGGAGAACAGCAAGTTGACTTCCCTCCGTCCTGGGGTCGTCCCTTTTGAGCCCTGAGTGGCTGAGAGCCCCTCTTTGGGTAAGGGACAGACGGGGCGCGAGCTAGCCCTGCTCTCAGCTTGTTTGTGAGGAGGGGCTCTGTGGCAGGGTTGCAGTTCCGATGGCGCCCAAAGGAAGCCTGCAATGCCACCGCCTTTCCTAACCGCCGGGCAGCCGACGGCAGGGCACAGAGCTGTTCAGGGAGTTGTCTGAGTTTTTCTCCAGCCCACCTTCCAGCTGGAGCTGGGCTCAGAATTCCTGGTCCTCTGGCAGTGGGGTGGCTGTGGGCACCTTCCGGATTCTCCGTGGCAGTGCCCTAAGGTTTCCAGTGACCTGATGCCTTTGCCCGCCCCTCCAAGGGCCAGTGCCGGGGTGGGCACAACAGGGGGCAAGGCCCCCACTTACCAGGTTTCTCTCTCCCACGCAAAGCCTTACCCACACAGGAGACCATTTGTTATCATCAAGCATTTACTGAGGGCTGTGCTGGTGCTGGATTCAGGTTGGGGTGCGCGCCTCACTGCCTGCCTGCCCCTCCCCTGAGGTCGGGCAGGTAGCAGGTATTTCCTCAACACCTGCCTGCCGGGGACTGGCATCACATGATCAAACCTGGGCAGAGATCTGCTGAAGGCACCTTGGGAGGCAAAAGGAAAAGGCCCCAAACTCTTGAGGAGGTTTCTAGAAAGGGGGCACCAGAGCTGAATCTTAAAGGAGCGTGAACTGCTAAGTGGAGAAGAAGCGAGGGAGGGTATCCAAGGGGCGAGAGCAGCAGACAGAGGCGTGGCAGAAGGGGCTCAGTGTGACCACACGGGCCGGCTGGCAGAGCCCAGGGCCTGAGGCGTCCTCCACCACGGCACCGCCAGCCACAGGCTGGAAGGCAAACACAGGAGGGGTTGATCTGTCCAGGACTGCAGGGCAAAACGGACCACAGGCTGCTCACATTCCAGCATGGGTGTGCATGCCTGTGTGTGTGTGTGTGTGTGTGTGTGTGTGTGTGTGTGAACTTGGAATCACCTCCAGGCACCTGCTGCTGTGATTCTCTAAAGGAGAAGAACCCAGGAGCCGACTGCGAGGAGCCACAGACCACCGAGCCCCTCTAACCAGCCTTGTGGCCCCCGACCTTTCCCGACTGCTGCCCCCAGCTGCTGCCGAATGGCAGTCACGCCTCCCCCAGAACTCACCCTGCTTCCCCTTCTCCCACTCCCTTTATCTGCAGCCAAAGCTTCCCAACGACTTACACCTCTTCCCCTCAGACTTGGGGTGCAAGCAGCTGGTCATCCCCAGGATGGCGGCCACATCGTCGCCTCCACCCAGGCCTGCGGCCGCTGGCTCAGGCCGAGGGCCTCCAGGCCGGGTTCATTTTTTGGCTAGCGTGTGCCTTAATAAACCGTTTGTGGAGGAAGGTTTTCAGCT